AAACTTATAACGATAATCATGGGGGAGGACCAAGATTGTCTCGTTGGAGGAAGAGCAAAGAAAAAGATCTGACCGAGGAGGAAGAGGAGAATAGAAATCAAGATGATCAAAGTCAAAGAACGAAAGAGGAAGGTTTTGATAGTATCACACCGTCGAGTTGTCTCGCAGCCAAGTTCCGTGCTATGCAGGACAGATATCTCAAGAGTTCAACGAGTAAACTCATAGCTAAGATTTATAAGAAGGATAGTAAAGAATGTAATAAGGATGGTAAGGACAAGAGAAGATTACGTAGCTTTTCTTACGGTACTTTGCCTGGTCTCGAAGAATTAAGAACGAATCCTCTTTACGAGGATCAGGATCAGGATGACAATGATTCCGGTATCTTAGATAATGACTCGGCTACCAGTTCTCTTCTTGATGATAGATGTAGCAGTGGTGCATCAGGCTTGATGACGAGTCAATCTAGTAGTACAAATGATTCACCACCAAGATTACCACCTAGAAAACCTTCGACCTCGATAATGGACACCGATAGGACAGCACGATTTTTTTCTGCATTGGATATTCATTGTGTTAGAACAGATGGTAAAGCTTGTACAAAGGACATTCTAACGTTTGATCCAAACGATGATTCTTCCGAGCTTATCGAGGATTCTAAATTGGAGAATTCTAAAGGTTCACATTTACCAGTAATCAGAAGTAAAGCTTATATCACCGAAACTATGGTAGTGAAATTGTTCAGAGATACTCCCGATCAATGTTTAGGAATTTTTATAGCTAAAACTGCTGAAACTAGTCCAGGATATTTGGTAGCGCATGTTGTACCTAATGGATTGGCCGATAAAGAAGGAACTTTGAAGATCGGCGATGAGATATTGATTGTCAATGGAAGGAGACTTAGAGGATTGAGCATGGCCGAAGCTAGAAAAATTTTAGGAAATGGAAGTGGTCCAGGTGAAGTTGATATCGTTGTATCCAGATATTCTGCTGTAGATCATGTTAAAAAACTTAAAGAAAGTAGTGTAGATTATGAAAACGTTAGCATAGAAAATGGTCACGGTGTTATAGTCGAGGATTCACCAAGATCTCGTTTTAAAAAACGTCAGGCCAAACATCACAGAGATAGAAAAAATGAATCTGGCAGATCTATCATCTCTGATAAAACAATTTTGTCTACGGATAATAATAATGGATCCACGACACAGTTGCAAACGCAAAGTGTATCGAATTTTTGTACATTACCTAGAAGACCAAGGAGCACAGTTTCAACGTTTTTGACAGTTCTATTTGAAAAGGGTCCGGGAAAGAAATCCTTGGGATTTACCATTGTCGGTGGAAAGGACAGTCCTAAAGGAAGCATCGGTAAATCAATCTTTTATCATTTTTATCTATTTTATTTTTTTGTTCCTCTTTTTCTTTTTTTATTTTTTTTTTTTTTTTTCGGCTACAAAATTAATCAAAATATTCGAGAATCAATGTGTGTGCTAATCCTTTCATGCATAATTCTTTATAATTTTGTTTTTATGTACAAAAAAAAATATATATATATATATATATACATATATTATCACGAATAATATTTTGCTAATTTTATGAAAAATATTTATCATATGTCCAAAGAAAAAAAGAAGAAAAAAAAATATGTTGAAAGTATAAAAAATAAATTATAAAGGAGTATTAATTAATATAATTTTCTTTTTATTCACGTGAAACAAAATTGGCTTAGTAATGAGGATGAATCGTGTGAAAAACAAAAAAAAAAAAGAAAAAAGAGAAATAAACAGAAAAGAAAAAAAGAAATACTAATAAATTATATTTAAAAAAAAAAAAGAAATTAAACGCTATACGATTACAAATAATCTTTATCGTTTCTTTATGAAAACAAAATTGACTTATAAAGGTAAAGAATAAAAGGGGATAATGCATAAAATGGCTACTTGGCAAAACGAATAGTAATACCGAAACGTATTAAGTTTAAATGTGGTTAGAAATGGCACGATGGTTTTTTTCTCTTGCAATAACTTTTACGCGTTCGCTGACCGTTGTCGATAAATCCTACTTATACGTATCGTAGCTATGTACATGCGGTTTCAAGTTTTACGTCCTCGTTACAAACGTGGGCAGACGAGTACTTACGTACGATGAGAGTTTCCCTCTTTGTTAGTTAAAGTTATAAGAATTTACGAAAGATCTCAAGACGATTCTCTTCTGTTCGACCTTAACAAAGATAAAATTTGTATGCGAAACTTTCGAATATAAAACGATTCTTATTTGACGGCTTTTCCATTTCGTTTTCTCTCATTTGCATGTTTGCAATGGCTAGCCAAAGAACAAAGTGTACACTTCGCGAGTAAACGCAAACTCGAAATGTCTTACAGAGACACATTGAAAAATTATATCTCCTCTTTTCTATATGAAAAGAGTAATTCTTTTTTTTTTCTTCTTCTTTTTTTTTCGTTCTTTTTTCTTTCATTCAATTTATTTATTTATATTGCACGAATATATATATATATGTATATACATACAGGATGAGGCGAAAAATTTTTAAACGATTCAAAGCTTCTTAATCTTTTGATTCAAAAGAATGAAAAATAATTAGCACGAAAGGATCACGAAAAGGAGCAATAGATTTTTAAAATTCGCCATTTAAGAAAAAAAAAGAAAACTCACAATTATCAATTAAAATATATATATATATATATTTTAATAATTTTTCTATATTTTCTTCTATAATAAATATCGATGGAATTAATAAAATCATTAAAAATGTATACATATATATATATATATATATATATATATATATATATATCTATATATGTATATATATATAAATGTATATATATATATATATCGTTTATATTAAAAAAAAAAAAAATAATATAATTAATTAATTTATATACGTACCTTTGGACAAATCA